CTTACTATCCCCATTTTACAGTTGAAGAAATTGAGGCAGACAATATTTAAGTGATTTGCCCAGAGTTATATAACTAGTAGGCAGCTAGGTGGATAGTACACAACCTGGAGTCAGGAAGACTCATCTTCTTGAGCTCAAATCCAACTTCAGACACTTCCTAGCTGCGTTACCCTGGGCGAGTCACTTAACCCTGTTTGCCTCAGTTTCCTCATCTGTAAAATGAGCTGGAGAAGGAAACAGCAAACCACCCCAGTATCTTTTCCAAGAAAACCCCAAAATGAAGTCACAAAGAGTCGGACATGACTGGAAAACAACTGAACAACAACAACACACAGTTAGTAAGTGTCTGAGGCCAAATTTGCACTCAGGTCTTCCTGATTCCAGGCCCAGTGCTCTATCCATTGAGTCACCTAGTAGCCTCAATTATTATTATAGTTGTTATTGCTATTATTCAACAGTGCCAAAAGTAAAGCCCGGCAAGTAGACAGGAGCTATTATCAGCCAGTCTAACTGCTTTACCTTCATCCATGTGCCTATCTTTAGCCTCTGTGTAGATCAGCCTCTTCACCATGGCTTTCTCTTTCACATACAAAGGGAGTAAGCTCTCTGACACCGAAAGTTATGATGTTTTTATTTTTTTCCATTCCATTTCAGCAGGGAGACTTCAAAGCCTAAATAAAAGCAGATGTTTAGATTTGCCAAGCTAGGTCTGAAACCTTCCACTCTCTATTTATTAAATACCTTGAGTTTCATGTTACTGATTATATAAAGGAAATTCATAGGGAATTAGGTTTTCCTACTAATTTTTCTTGCTTTGTTCTGAGAGAAGCATCACTGAGCCACATCAGCGGAATATAGAGGATCCTTTTTAATAGTGTTCTAGGGAAAGGAGAACCTTATACATTACTAAGGTCTGGTCAATGAGGGCCCAGTAATGGAAGCATGAGCAAATGTAAGGCTTTGGTAAGGCATCTTCTGGACTGTGTGATGAGGTGAAATGGAGGGGCTCAGACTTTCCACTTCAGAGCCTGCACAGGTATTCTATGAATGTTTCCTATCCTCTTACTACCCAGCAAAGAAAAGGCCTTTTGATTGGTTGCTGTGCCAGAACTGAGTGCGCAGACAAAAAGTATTAAGTGGGGGGCAGCTAGGTGGTGCAGTGGATAGAGCACTGGCCCTGGAGTCAGGAGGACCTGAGTTCAAATCTGACCTCAGACCCTTGACACTTACTAGCTGTGTGACCCTGGGCAAGTCACTTAACCCCACTGCCTAGCCACCCCACCAAAAAAAAATTATTAATCATTATTTCTTTCCTTGTAGGGAAGCAGGAATTGCTGTGGAGCTGGGGGTGGTAGAGACAGGCTGAAGGCAGTTGATGCTTTAAAATGCAAAGCTGGGCCCCTTTATTTAACCTCATGAGGCAATTGCAGAAACTGGCTCCCTGAACCTTGACATTTGCTTATGCTTCCAAGACTGGGCTCCTTTGACCTAGTCCCCCAATATACACATAAGCAGCTCCTTTCAGCCAAATCTTGATAAGCAAGCTCCTTGGATATTTTATCCAAACAGAAGAAAAGTATTCGTCTATAATCATGACTTACTGGTACTGGTACTGTTTGTTTTAGGCCCATAACAACAGGCTCATAAAATTTTAATTTGAGCCATTGCAGAGCAAGATGGCCCCAGTGATGAAGAACTGTGACAGTTCACTAAAAAGGAAACCGTAGCTAGTTTTCAGAAAGGGTGATTTCAAAATAAAAATGTATTCAATAGGATCTGACTTGTATTTTCATGGGGATCTTTTTCTTACTCAAACTGGCTCAAAACTTTATTCATTTCTTTATTTTTTACAACTTTGATGGTAGTTGAATGAGTCAAGTGATGGGAGAAGGAAGGAGGGAAAGAAGGACTAAAACTTTGTGAAGAAAAAGATTGTTTAAAAAAATCCTGAATAATAATGTTGTCTGTAGTAACTTTTAGATAATTTCCTCCTATGGCATGTGTGTGTGTGTGTGTGTGTGTGTGTGTGTGTGTGTGTGTGTGTACACTATAAGAATATGGTCTAGAGTATATGTGTGTATATGTGCATGCACATATATGTATATATGCATACATACATGTACATGTGTATATATGTGTGTGTATATATATATGCATTCTAGATTACTGTCTTATAGTATAATTGAATAAATGCTAAGCTTACAAACTTAGAACTGGAGGAGACCCCAAAGATCTTCTTTATCATAGTGTCATAGAATAGGAGCAGAAAGGGACCTTAGGGGCCATCGAGACCACCACCTCATTTTACAGATGGGGATACTGAGGCTCAGAGAGCCTCATTGCTAGAGGTATAATTTGAACTTAGGTCTTCTTGACTTCTCTAGAGTTGGAAGGGATGATGGATACCATCTAGTAAACCTTCTTATACAGATAAAGAAACTGAGGACTAAAGAGGGAAAGCTGTTTGCCTAAGGTCACACGGCCAGTGCTAGAGCCATAAGCCAGTTCTTCCGACTAATTCCTAATATAGGAGTCTTTTCATGTCTTTGCTCCACCTCCCACCCCCAAGCCTTCAATCAAAAATATGCTTGGATAGGCAACCATTATTGGATTTTGAAAATGTAGCTTTTGATTTTTTCCCCCTTATTCGTATTTGGAAGTACCAGTGTCATTGCGGAGTGCAGCATCAGTCTGCAGGGATATGGATCCTTTCTGCTCTCTCCTCCCTGCTGGATAGGGGCAGAGCTGAATCCTTCCTAGGCCTTGCCTACGTCCTCCCCCCAGGAGGTGTGAACTAGCCACTCTCTCCTTCCTGTCTCCTGTCTAGCTGGAGATTTAGTCGGTCAACACCTGTTTGAAAAATTAGCACACTTTTTAGCCTCTGAACAACATAATGGCCCTTACGTCCATTCGATCCTCGAAGATATAACAACAAATTTAGAAGAAATCAAGGAATAATACAAGAATACAAAAATGTGTGACATTTTATTTTTTCTATCAGTGCCCCTGACACAAACATACATGCACAAATTCAGATGGGACCACATAAGTACAATCCTAAATCCTAATTTTCTAGGACATTCCTCCTACCCACATTAAAATTAAGAACAGTGAACAAAGAACCCTCAATAAACACAGCAAATAATAAACTCTACATACTTTAATATTATGATCCATCAAAGAGAAATCAAAGGGAGGAAAGGCAATAGGAAAGTGGGGGACAGGCTTGTGTATGCGAAACAGATAGAGACACAATCTCAGGATCTGCCAAACCCAGAGGGGCAAAGAAGGGCGTATTTATTAATAGTAAAATAAGGATGTGTGAAAAACTAGTAGTTTTTAATACTTATAAGGCATGAATGAGGAGCAGCTAGGTGGCACAGTGGATAGAGCACTGGCCCTGAAGTCAGGAGGACCTGAGTTCAAATCTGCCCTCAGACCAAACACTTGACACTTACTAGCTGTGTGACCCTGGGCACGTCACTTAACCCCAATTGCCTTAAAAAAATGAAACAGGACTACATATATATGTGTATATGTATAGATATATATACATATATATAAATTTTATAGGTTAAAAAAGGACCATACCCTTCCTATATATATACATACACACAATATAATGGCCCTCAGTTCCATGTGACATGTCAGTTCCAAGTGACACGTGTTTATATACACATGTCACATGGAACTGAGGGCCATTATATTGTGTGTATGTGTATATTGGAATCAGAAAGACTCATCTTCATGATTTCAAATCCGGCCTCAGACACTTACTAGTTGTGTGCCTGGGCAAGTCACTTAACCCTATTTGCCTCAGTTCCTCATCTGCAAAATGAGCTGGAAAAGGAAATAGCAAACCACTCCAGTATCTTTGCCAAGAAAATCCCAAAATGGGGTCACAAAGAGGAACACAACTGAAATGACACAACAACAAAAATGTGTATATACATGTCACATGTCACATGATGGTCATTATTGTGTGTATATATGTGCATATGTTTATATGTAATCTATATATATAAACATTATATACACATAAAAATTTTGAGTATTCCTATCCAAATTTTTGAAGTGCATAAAGTCTTAAAACTCTCTTTTCCTCAAAGGAGCAAGTGGAAACTTAATTTCCTACTGTAAAGTAGGGAGGGTCATTTCTTACCTTATAGAAGAAAAAAAGTCTACTTTCCTGGGAAAACATCCCCATCTTGTGGATTTAAAAGACATATTAAGTTTTCATATCACAGATATCCTTTCTTGGTATCCAGGTAAAATTGATTTAAGAACTAGACGTGGGCCACTGACAAGAGCTTCCCAAACCTTAATCTAATGGAAAACAAACATGAAGAGAAATGTTATCTTTCTGTGAACCAGATGAGTTCATATTCGAAAATAAACTTTTGAGAAAAAGATGGAACCATTTTAGCAGAATGCTCCAACGCAAGGGTCAGTAAACTACAGCCCAAACTACAGGTCAGATCCACCTTGTTTTAGTAGAGTCCATGAGCAAAGGATTGTTTTTATATTTTGAAATACAGTAAAACTATTTTAAAATGTAAAAACCATTCTTAGCTCAAAGGGATAAAGAATTATGAGCCTTTGCCAACCCCCACTCTAGTGGATCTATAGAAAAACTTTATTCAAGTAGCAGCAAGTAGTCTTATATGACAAGGATATGAGTAAGAATTTCTTCATTGAGTGGGATGTTTGACTCAATGACATCTACCTTCTTTTCCCAGTCTGCAAATCAGTGGGCCTCTAAATCACTGAAATCATTACTACTCCAGAACAATCTAGCAAGTATGCTAAATGACTTTAAACAATTCCCACCAAAATTTCACATCATAGATTAATGACCCTCCCCCTCCAAAGGTTGTTTCTGAAAAGTTTTCATTTGAAGTATATTATAAGCACGATTTTAAAAATGCTTTGTTGGTGGTGAATGACAATAAATGCCATCAAATTTGATCAAAAATTCTTGTTGTCACTGACTATTTTAGTTATTCCTGAAAATTCTGTAAAGGAAATCTTCCGGACACCTGGAGCCATTAAAGACACCATCAAGAGGTTGCTTGCTCATAAGCATAGCGTAAAGAAGAATGAAGAAATAAAGAATGTGATCCCAGAACCTGCTGTGACTCCAGCGACCAAGGTTCTGTTGCAGCCATTCCATTATGAAGATAGCATTCAGGTTGGTGAAGCCTATGATGGAAAGGTAAAAGAACATGAAGATACCAGGAGAGAAGATGGGACAGAGGAAGAAGGACAGATTGACCTCAGGAACCAAATTGATCCTGAGCAAAGCCTTAGAGGAGATGTGTTCTGTAAGTATTATTTTTACTTTTTTTTCTTTAATGAGGTCTTAGTTCTTATGGCACACTTAAGAAAATGCATGCAAATGAAGAGGGAACCAATCATCAATATAACAAGACCTCAGGCTCGTAAGCAGTAAAATCCTTTCTGAAGTTGAGATATTTTAATCTCTTGTTAGTTATGAAAACAAAGTGGCTGCTATGGAAAACCGAAAAAACACATACATCTACTGTCCATTGACTGCTTTTTACCATTTCTTATTATTATTATTATAAATAAAAATAATAACATCCTGACTTAGAGGTCAACAGTTTATCCATTATGCCACCTAATACCACTAATTCAAGATGATCTGAGTTCAAATCTCACTTCTGACACCTATTCTGATCATGGACAATTAACTTAACTAATCAGTGCCCCCAGACAACTGTCACTCATCTGCAGTGGTAGGAGAAATATTGGTAGATATTTATATATCACTTTAAAGCTCTCAAGATATTTATCTACCTTTGGCCTCCCAATAATCCTATGAGGTAGGTTACAGGTGTATTTTCTCCAATTTTAATGAGAACACTGAGGCAACAGTGATGAGGGAGTCATAGAATCTGGGTTCAAATCTTGACTCTTATTTCTTACTTGGCAGCTAGGTAGCACAGAGGATAGAACACTGGGCCTGAAATCAGGAAAACCGGAATTCAAATTGGCCTCAGATATATATTAGTTGTATGACCTTGGGCAAGTCATACCCTCTGTTTACCTTCATTTCCTCATCTGTAAAATGGGGATAATAATTGCTCCTCCTTCCAGAATAGTTGTGAGGACCAAATGAAATAATATTTAAAACTGATGAACTCTGAATATAAATTGAAGTATAATTTTCTCACTTTATTTTTCTTGTTTTTTAAAAAAATATGGGAGATACAGAAATACGTTTTACATGTATAATTGACAGCAATAATCTTGCTTGCCTTCTCAGTGGATGTGGGAGGGGGAGAATTTGGAACTCAAAATTTAATGCTTAAAATAAATAATGAATTGAACTGTTTTTTAAAATGATTTATATATGACATATGACATTCATATATATATAAATTATATATTTGTAATGCATATTAAAAAATTTAAAACAATTTTTAAATGTGCCTGACACTTAGTAGAAACTATATAAACTATATAAACATTATTGTTATCTGTAACATTGGGTAAGTTACTTCATCTTTCTGAGACCTCAGTTTTCTCATCTGTAAGATGAAGAAGTTGTATGAAGAGATGGAGAGAACCTCCAAGGTCCTTTCTAGCTCTAAATGTTTGAGCCTATGAGCTCATTGTCTGACTTGTGCTGGCCTGAACGCAGGTTTGATTATGATCTATTGACCAATCACATTAATTTTCTTGGTAATTTAAAAAGTCAGGTATCAAACAACATGGCCTGGTAAAGAGAGTGCTGGAGATAGGTTTGAATCCCACCTCACACACTTATACTATACTCTGAGTAAGTACTAACCTCTCAGAGGCTCAGTTTCCTCATCTATAAAATGTGCATCACAATCATCTCACTACTTACCTTACTGGATGTTATGAGGAAAGTGATTTGTAAAGCTTTTTAGTTGTTGTTCAGTCATTTCAGGTGTGTCTGACTCTTTGTGACCCCATCTGGGGTTTTCTTGGCAAAGATCCTGAAATGGTTTGCCATTTCCTTCTCCAGCTCATTTTACAGATGAGGAAACCGAGGCATACAGGGTTAAGTGACTTGCCCAGGGTCACACAGCTAATAAGTGTCTGAGGCCAAATTTGAACTCAGAAAGATGAGTCTACCCGACTCGAGGCCCAGCACTCTATCCACCATGCCAACTAGCTGCCAGAAAGTTATTACATAAATACTAAAGAAGGTATACTTCAGTTTCTCAAGATAGGTAGGATGAGAAGCCAAACATGTTTTGCAAGGTATAATGAGTTTTGAGTATCTTTCTTTGTTGTAAGTATATTTTAATTTCTTGAAGATGGGGCCTAGATTGTTTTTCTTCTTGGTATCCCAGAGCCTTGCCTATAGCTAGCACGGAGTAAATATTGCTTTAATTGATTGAGTTACGAACAATGCTTGATGTAAATAGAAGTCAGAGTGATACTGCACACAATGGATTTAGCCCTAACTCTTGCCACCTGCTACCTCCTGCTGAGGAAGCCTGGGCTCCAGACCCATGGCTGCTGCTAATCAGCTAAGTGACCTTGGGAAAGTCACTTCTACTCTCTGGGCATCCATTTCCTCCTCAGTAAAAATAGCTAAGTGATAAATCAAAATAAATTAATTAAAAAAATAGCTAAGTGGCACAGGGAGTCAGAAAGACCCGAGTTCAAATTCAACTTCAAACCCTTATTGGCTATTGACCCTGAGCAAGTCACTTAACCACTGTTTGCCTTGGTTTCCTTATCTGCTGCTGTTTAGTCATGTCTGACTCTGTGACTCCATTTGTGGGATTTTCTTGGCAAAGATACTGGAGTAGTTTGCCATTTCCTTCTCGGCTCATTTTACAGATGAGGAACCAAGGCAATGTGGTTGTGACAATCAAATGAGATGATATTTGTAAAGTGCTTAACACCGTACCTAGCTTGTAGTCAGCACTATTTAAATATTAGCTTGTATTAAAAATAAGGAGAATGAACTCGATGATTGCTAGGTGGTCCCTCTCAGCTCCAGACCCAGGATCCTATGATCCTTCCATCTTTAAATTCTGGAACTGCCCAGGAAGTATTGGATACTAGCATACTTATGGAAGGTACAGTGAGGTTTGAGTCATGGAAATTTGGAGTATACACATGTGGCATGGATTACCCCTGAACCAGAAAACTGAGAACTGAAAGTGTTTATTAGTATTATAAGGCTATTCCAAGTGGCTTAAATAAAGCCCCTTGAAAATGCAAATGTGTAGTATTTACTGAAATGTGTTAATTCTCATGTGCAAATATTTAAAGAGGTAAGCCAGTAAGTTCTAGGGTCTTTGATTATACTAGATACCAGGGCTTTGACCCACCCAGCCTCTAATTTGTTTTGCTTTAACTGATCATTTAGATTTACTGGGAGAGCTACATTAAGGAGTTAGGCTTTTAGCAAGCCTGGTTTCATTAGATCCACTCTCAAAATGTTTTCATCTTAAACACTGACTCTGTTTCAGTTTAACATTTCAATGGTATCCTATGAAATTTCATTAACATAGTTTTGAGCTTTTAAAAAAAATACAGAATGTGCCAAGGGTTTTGAGTTACACAGAAGGGCACCAGCATACCAAATTGGAATCTTTCCATTTAGAAAATGAGAATTATAAGTTTTATTTTATTGACATCTTTTCTATTTTATTCCTTAAGATAGCTAATTTGTACTTTATGACGCCACTTCTTACTTAAAAAGCAATTACTCTGTGAAGCAGGGACTGCTTTTATCATGGGGATCATCCTTGCCTTGATTGTTGAGAAAAGGAGAGGAATGGCTCGGACTTCTCCTAGGCCAGCCCACAATCGTATCACCAGCCGAGATCGGTAGAGAGAAAGGAGGAGCAATTTTATTCTCACTCTGCCTACTCAAGGTTGTCCTTTAGGACTAGGTAGGGAGTGGGTGGCTGCCAGTTCAAAAACATTCAAGCCACCACCACTATCAAGAATACTTAAATAGGGGCAGCTAGGTGGTGCCATGGATAGAGCCCCAGTCATGGAGTCAGGAGGACCTGTGTTCAAATCTGGCTTCAGACACTTACTAGCTATGTGTCCCTTAGTCGCTTAACCCCAATTGCCTTAAAAAAATGAGAATACTTAAATATTGATCCCATCAGTTTGGGGTTTCCTTGCAATGGCACAGATCATGATTCATCCACGTCCGCCCGTATTATTCAACTTTTATCTGGTTGTGCTCCCAAAAGTTTGACACATCAGAGTCTAACCAACATGCTAGGGGCTACTGAGGATACAAAAGTTATGTATCACTTAGATCCTTTAAAATGAGTCATATCAATCTGTAGTGCTAACTGAAGTTTATTTATTTCTTTGACCTTCTGAGAAAAATAAGTCAGCTTCTAGGGATGCGGCTTAGTACAAATAAATCACTATCTTGTAGGGAAGGGTGTGTGAAGGGAATAAACATTTATTAAGAACCTACTATGTGCCAGGCACTGTGCTAAGTGCTTTACAAAATTATCTCATTTGATCCTCACAACAACCCTGGGAAGTAGGGGCTACTATTATCCCTATTTTACAATTGAGGAAACTGAGGCAGACAGAAGTTAAGTTATTTGCCCAGGGTTAGACAGGTAGTATTTAAGGCCATATTTGTATACAAGTCTTCCTTATTCCAAGCCCAGTGCTCCCTCCACTGCATCACCTGGCTTCCATCCTATAGTATGTGTGTTGTGAAGTTGTTTTCAGTCACGTCTGACTCTTCATGACCCCACTTGGGGTTTTCTTGGCAAAGACAATGGAGTGGTTTGCCATTTCCTTCTCCAGCTCATTTTACAGATGAAGAAACTGAAGCAAACAAGGTTAAACAACTTGCCCAGGGTCACATGGCTAGTAAATGTCTGAGGCCACATTTGAACTCAGGAAGATGAGTCTTCCTGATGCTCTATCCACTGTGCCACCTACCTACCCTATAGTGTGTGTAATGAAGCATAAAATTTTTCTCCTAAAGACTCCAGAGGAAAGTTGTATGTAGATTTTTTTTTGCCTGTGCACTTTTGGTTTGGGAAATGTTCATAGACTATCAGCATTGAAAACTGTAACATACTACTAGTTAATGGTAGATTAATTCCCCTTCATGCCCTAGGCACTAAGATCCCCGGGGGCTTCTCCTTTTTTCTTGCTTATTAGAACTATCTGGAAGGAGTAGGGATATGGGAATCCTACCTAATTGCTAGAAAGTTGCCAAAAGTGTTCTATAGGGGCAAGGAGATAGAATATTCATGTTTATTCTTCACCACCATTTTCTTTGTAATCCTGCTCTTACTGTGTTATAGAGAAGCTGTGTCCC